GGTGGCAACTCTTCAGCTTTCTGAAGAAGGTCTATAAGAGAGTGTGCAGCCCCATAAAGGCGGTATACGTCTTTCTTGCCGGGAATGGTTACTTTACTCACCACATCCTGACTCAACTTGATTCTGGGTTCACCATTTAACTCCACCATCTTGTATACACAGCCTAGTGCTGGCTGTTTCTGACAAGTCACGAGGTGCGTACCAATGCCAAAACTATCTATCTTGTGATCCTAAAATGAACAATCTGGTTATTAAAGGTGTTCCGTTAGGTACTTTTGGATTTCAATTAAAATGTGCATTTAGATATCCAAGAATTTCACAGTAAACGTAAAAAGATTGGTTATGAACTTTTGCATTGAAAATGAGCATATCATCTTATTGCTTTTGCACATTTGATTTCATGCTTTTTTCAATAATTACTAATACCACCACCAGTCATCTGGCCGGAAATGTCCGAAATAGGTTTGTATTTAAATGTATGTTTTTGTTAATTATGGATCATTTTAGGTCAAAGGAGTGCAAACATACTATGAAAGTACAATGGTGGAATGGTAAATGGCGATCGATAATATACACCTTAACCGTGTGTACTTTCAATAAAATATGGCTCCGTTAAGATATAGTGAGGCAAACTGCAATCTCTTACAGTGGTCATGACTGCTAGCTTGCGAGATCATGCAATCTAACCCTGTTTTATGTCTTACTTCCCACGCCTACTGGCGAGGAAGCAAATTTCGAAAATGATACAGTATGTTTTTTGGATGTTATGTTACATGTACATTCCGGAAAAACAATAATTTTAGAAGCGCCTATAACTTGAGAAGTACAGCTCGGATTTCAATAAAAAAATTTAACAATGTTACTACTATGCCAAGGACGCAATAACTTTGTAGTTTTTGGAAATCGATCCAGAGAAAAAGGCCTGGTAAGGTTAGCGCATAAAGACTGAATTCTTTTTTTTTTTCAAGAATTCATTAGGAATACCATTTTTTAAGGAAAATAGATGTGAAACTATGTATAAAAAATCGTGGCAAAAACGAAAAAAGTAACACCCGCATTAACTTCGTTTTTTGAAGTTCACTTCTAACAGAGTCAGATATTAGGGAGACGACGTTTCCAGATGCACTACCGGTAAGGCAGGGAGGATTATCTATGGACTAATTGTATGGACCAGTTTGACTGACCTTTTTCTCTAGTTTATGCTGAACATATCCTTTATGTACTGATAAGCGCGTTGCGTAGGAAGTGTAGGGTTAACCTGCTTGATGCCATTTTATTAGGAGTCTTCAGTATGAAATTGATTAAAAAAATCACAGATGAGGTATGTGCAACTAGGTCTGAATGGTGCCAAAGGGTTTGTTGAATTATGGTCATTTCTAGAATATGGACACTTGGATAATATTGTTATAAAACATAACTCCTATACTTTTACATTTTTTAAATATAAATGGATATGTGTTTAAATTGTATGTTCTATTTAAAACAAAATCATACCTGATCATTCAAACGCAAAATGGTCTCCTCATTGATGTCATTAGAAGCCATAATTACCAATTTACCAAAATATGGCACATTGTATTTATTGCCATATTGTTGAAATATTCTTAGCTACATTAGATAGATATGCCAAATCACCACTAATCTAGTCTTACACCAAGAGCTTTATAGCCAAAGTCATGCAGGCCTAATGCAACAGCACAGAAGTTGATGATGACCACTTTTCTTCACGTCATAAGTGTCTACTAAGGCCATGAACCCATCAGGAAAGGCAATAGCAAATGAAAATAAATGCAGCCCAACTCGCCATTACTAACTTCAGAAAGGATTACACCAACATTGATATCAACTTTTCTCGCCATTTTAATACTGGGTGGACAAAATTTTCATCAGTATCTGCAAAATGGAATGTTATTCTATAATAATGTTCTAAGGGGGCTCCCCAATAATATCAACCTATAAAATACCCTAGTCCAAGTAGTTTTTTTTAAATACCTCATCAAAGACATTATGTTCTTGTGTAGTTGTGTCATTGGTATTCATAAAAAATATGGTTAAAAAGTAGTATCTTTTATGGCAACACTGCTTGGAATGGGTAGCATATTAAGACATTTCTGTCAAGTAAAAGAAATTATTTTAGGCTGTAATGCCAAGGTGGATGTTTTTCTCTATCTCCACATAAAACAAACCAATATTTTTGGTGGGACTGCTATATGGTTATAATATAAATATTTAGATGCCACCACAGAATCCCTCCATGATTTAATAAGGCTGGCTGAAGATACCATGTCTGCATTCTGCTAGGTAGAATAGGATTTTTCAGCAAACATTATGTACTGTTGGCATGATCGCCCATATAGCAAAATCCAGGGGGGGCATGTCGGTTTTACAGGTTGTGCAGGATAAAAAATGCTGAGAACTAGCCAACCGTTTGTGACAATTGAAGACGTGAAGGGAGGTGCAACTGTTCAAAAAAATGGTAGCAGAAATATATCTTCTATGTTGGATGTTTTGAAGAGCAAAAAAAAACTCACATGCACTTCTTACCAAGGTTTGGGTATATTATTGAAAATATTTCAGCAGAAGCCCCCTTTAGCCCCCCCTTCCAATGGGCGCCCATGACTGTTGAGATGTTCTGGGATATTACAATTAGATAATACTGAGTTCAATACTTCATTTACAGACATTTGTTTATATTAAAGCTTGAATTATACAATTTTTTGAAAAACATTAATTTTTAGAACTATTTTGCTGAGATCCTTTTGAGGCATTTATGTTTTATAGGAATTTATCAATTATTTCTTTGTCAGTTAATATTTATTTTTCTTTTCAAATCTGCTTAAAGATTATAGTTTCTAAAATATGCATTATACAGTGAATGACAAACAATCACAATTTACTGTTGTGGTCCGTACCATCAGTATTTACTGATGATTTCCTGTGTCAGTAGATTGCTACATAACCTTATTTATTTATTTATTGATTCATCAACGAGCGACTGCCCAATTAAGTACAGCATAGAAGATCTAATGTAAATCTAACCCTTTGACTTAGATATTTAACACTTAAAACAATCATAAACACTTCAATCCAGATCATTTCTTAATTGAAACGAATTGGGGAAATCAAATATTAATATTACTGACAGGAATCTAATTGAATTTTGAATGCTTTATCTGACTTCTGAAGAAATCCAACTTGTTACAGATTTGGTAACCTTGAAGATCTAGACAGGAAGGAATTGCTAGCATGATTAGTACGAAATGATCTCACATGGAATGGTTGATTCAGTCTTGTTTTGACGAGAAGGCACATGGAGATTAATATTTTTCAAAAGTTCTGCAGCAAAAATAAGAGAGGCAAAATATTATAAAAAGCGACAGGTCCCTCTAATTCCGTGTTACCTGAAGGGTTGAGATATTGAGAGAGCTTTCAATTACGGAATAGATATTATATTCTACCATAACGTTTTGTTGAATGAGATGAATCTTAAGAATTTATGTTGCACTCTCTCAATTGCCTGAATATGAACATTATAGTTAGGTGACCAAACACAAGAACAATATTCCAGATGGGGCCTCACCAAAGAACAAAAGAGCGTTCTAAATGACTGAATATTATGAAAATCCTTAGCACATCATTTTATAAAACCCACATTTGAAGAGATTTAGAAACAATCATATTTACTATATATGGGTAATAAAAGATAATTTTGGGTCAAGAATTACCCCTAAATCCCTAACTTGGGATACACTCTTTAGAGGACAACCTTTCATGGTATAAGTATGATCAATGGGGCTCCTGTTATGGCTGAAGACCATTAAATGGCATTTTTCCACATTAAGTTCCATTCTATTCATTTGACACCAAAGACTTAATGAATTCAAATTAGTTTGGATATTTAAACAATCATTTTTATATTTGATTTTAAGAATAACTTCAAATCATCTGCAAACATTAGAAACTAACAGACTTAAAACAGTATATAATATCATTCACGTATATATTGAACAGAAGAGGACCCAGATAGGAACCTTGAGGTACTCAAGATGGCACGTTAATCTTGTTTGCTTGAAAGCTTTGTATGTGCACTATTTGCTTTCGGTCAGTGAGATAAGACTTCAGCCATTATAAAGATCCCCGCAAATTCCTAGACAACGTAACTTATTGATCAAGATTTCATGGTTGACCTTATCGAAAGCTTTAGAAAAATCTGTATAAACTATGTGAACAGAATAACCTTCCTCCAAGGATTCCAAAACACAGTTTGTGAATGTTAACAGATTTAACTCTATGAAGCGTTTTGAAAGAAATCCAAACTGTTGGCTTATAACATTACTTTGCAAATTTGCAGATAAAAATTCACAAACTAGTCTCTTAAATACCATTCCAATGCAACTCGGTTTACTGATAGGTCGATAATTTTTGACTTGTGAAGGATCTCCAGATTTCAGTATTGGAGTAATGAAGTTGTTTTCCAATATTCCGGAAAAGTTCCACTTTTCAACAAAAGATTAAAAATATAAAATAGAGGTCTAGAAATCAGAACGCTACAATGTTTAATCAACAACGGAGGTACACCATCAGGTCCAGGTCCTTTATTAGCATCTAATTTGAACAGTTTGTCATAGATGGCTGAGATTTTAATTCCATAGATAAACAAATTGATGACCCCATCATCAATAATTACTGACATCAATTCAACACATTCTTTATATACCACATTTTGAGGTAAATACTGACAACTACATCAAGTACTGATTGTGTGACATTTGCCTAAGATGAATTACCTGTATTACTATTTCTTAGCATTGTTAACTGCAATTCATCAATAGAGTTGAATGAGGTAATGTAAGCATGGGCATGTGTGCCTTTAACTGGAATATGGAATAGTTTTCCAGCAAGCACATTACTTGTTCCATCGAATCCTCCAATATAGCTGTATCTTGAAGCAGACAAGCCTCCATCAGGGCCTTGAGCTCTCCTCAAACCGAATTCATATAATTTAAGATGCCCCGCTGCTAGTCTATATCTTGCTGCATTGGTTGTCATTAAGCTAGCATAATTAACTAAATTAAGCAAGGTTGTCTCAAGGAGTTGAGCCACTACTAGTTGGCCTTCTACTCTTATCAGTGGGATCCTTGGAAAAACCACTGTGCCTTCCTTAACTGCATAAAACTTTATATGGTCAGCAGTTAATGTTTTCAAATACTCATAGAACTCATTTTCAATACTTGAAGGTAAAATTTGCCTGAGATAAGCAATATCACTGTCAGAAAATCTGAACTTCTGGATAAATTTAAGACATTCTTCTAGGCCTGCAAATACTGTAAATTCTCCGCTAAATGGATTCTTGCGAAAAAATAAGTCGAATACTGCATAATCATCAGTTTTCTTGGATTTCCAGTACGCGTAAGCCATAGTAATTGGTACAAATCCGTGAGCAAAGGCTGCACAATCCCATTCTGGCAATTATATCTTGAATTTGTAAGTTCTGACATTATAAAAAATCGTCTACGAACCTCTATCATGAATTACTTGTCTACACCACCTTTCTTATTTGTTCTGGAATGTACAACTTTGCAAATCAAGAAAATGTGTGATTTGCAAATTTTATTGTTTACAAAAACATCTATAAGTCTGACCCATCTGACCTCTGTTATCTACAAAATCATAACCTTTGCAGAATGTGACATGGAACATGGAACCTAATAGATATGTTCCAGCAACTATTTTCAACTGGTCAAATTCAGTTGACCTAACGATTTGTGAAAAAAGTGGAACTTGAAACCATGCGTCAAACTGAATTGGTTTGTGGCGAACGTTGGACACATGTAATCCGTCAGCGCTCTCCCACACAATGTGGTGAATGTTGTAAGGCAATCGCCGGTTAAACACTCACCACTGTCAAAAATGCATTGCCTAAACATGCAAAATTTAAAACAGCGTTTCAAAATCACTCGCACAAGTGAAAGAGCTGCATAAATACATCTTCTAAGAATTTTTGTGAAGGAGTAGGTAACAGTGTATTTAGTTTTCTAGTTTTTGTGTATTCATATGCTTCTCAAAAAGAAAATAGTTGCTTTCGTAAAGAATGGTCATTCAAGTTTCCTCATCCCTATTTTTTCGAGTAATGTAGGTCCCACACGATGCCTCCAGCGTTGTATACAACGTTCGACACCCCACAAGTGTGTCTACCACATGCGCTCTGCCACACGATGTGGTGAATGGACATGTGTCCAACGTTGTAAGACATGCGCCACATCGTGTGGGACCGACTTAATGCGGGTCCCACACGATGCTTCCAGCGCTGTGTACATCGCTGTTTACAACGTCCTACACGATGAGATGAACTTTTTAGTCTCGGATGTTTGAGGCATGGTGACGCCAACATCTATTATCGGTGTCAGTGTCGCGCTTGAACCTTTACAACTAATGGAAAAATTATACAGAATGAACGATGAAACAATTTTTTCGAGCGCCGATAAATAATTTCAGATCTGTCTTCGGTGACAAAAACTTAAGTCTGTCAGAAGCCTCAGAAATGTCGAAAAACGGAGTTTGACCGTTTTTTATTTGTTTTTCGACTATAACTCCGCCGCCACAGTACCGATTTTCGAAAACTGCAGAGCTTTTTCGTCATTTTCATTGTAGTAATCTAGGGTCAAAATTTCATCAAAATCCTGATAGTACTTTCAGAGTTATCACTCATTTAATGGTTTTCGTTAGCTATCAAATGCAAGTCAATATATTTCTCAACTAGTCTTGCATTGCAACATGACATTATAATGAAACAACTGTAAGTACTTGATAATTTATAATTTACATTTCCTTAGGTCAGCCATAACTCATCTGCGGAACGTACAAAATATTAGCAATATGAAAAAAGTGTTTTTATGGCAGCCTATGCTTTGTATGTTTACTAATTTAATTCATTTTCCTCAAAAGTTAGTTACGGAACATACATTATTATGAATATGTATGTATTCAAATCAAAATAATTCGTACATATCACTACTTTACCACAATCACAGCAAACAAGTAAATAATGTTTTTCGCCGCTACTGGTTCTAAGCTAACGAACCTTGCTTCCAACGTTGTAACGGCCTTTGACGCGGGTCAAATTTACCGACAAGAGCCCGAACGTGCCATACGGCCAACGTTGGACACATGTAACCGTCAGCGCTCTCCCACACGATGTGGCGAATGGCCAACGTTGTAAGGCATCCGCCACATCGTATGGGACTGGCTTAAGGCATTCGGCACATCGTGTGAGATCGATTTAACCGATTCTCTTTGAGAAACTGTCAGCAATGACAACTTGAAACACTTTTGACAGCTACTTTTAATTTTTTTCAGATTTAAATGGCGTAGCCTGAAGTACGGTTGTTTGTTGAAGTCTGGTACTTTATTAGGGATTATCCCATTGTAATTGTGACCACATTTAATTGTATAGAATGTGTGCTTGAAAGCTTTCTATACGATGCCTACATAAGGCAACGATTGCCTATTTAGAAATAAACATCTGCGAAGATGACTGTAGTCTCAGCTTATATTGAACTAGTTTCGACGAATAGGTGATAAACTATGGAAGATTATGACGACTCTGAGCCAGATATTCATGAGCAAACCTTCCACAACACCATACGGGAACATATCGTAAGTATCTATTTCATTTTTCATCAGATACTCGGTATTCTCTGGATATATTGCACAACGTTTTGGAGACCAAAATAGTATTGTTCAAGACAACAAATGCTGTCATTTCTCTGTTTTGAAGTGGAAAATAATAACAAGCAAGAGTATGAAGAGCCCACCAGGAGATTCGTATATCTTTATTTAATAAGGAATCTTTATATCAGTAGATTCTTTTGTTTTGTTTTCAGGTTCTCAAGAGTTATTTTTGAAGCCACAATTCTTTATTTTAAATGTAATAATAATAATATATTTTTTGCCTCTGATGCTAACAAGTCAATACAAAGATTTTTACAGAAGAAATCATTTTGAGTTGGTATCTTCTAATCATGCTTGATGAGATTTGGATAATAGTGATAGTTTGTAAATTTAAAAGAAACTCTAAATCTATTGTTAGTTTCCTGTAGATCATAGATCATTTTACGCAACAAAACTCTTCCTTCAATAAAATTAATGGCATTCTAATCTGGAAATCCACAATTTTTCAAACAAAGATCCATTTTGTATTTTAATATATGGTTTGGGGTGGAACTTGAAACAATATTTAATAGTTAGTAATAACTTGTTAAATTCATTCCAAGTTACATAATGATGTATCTCCAAAATTATTTTATATTTATCTGATTCATTGAATATGTAAATATACCATATTTAAGATTTTATTGACATTACCATTTTTGAGAGTTATACATACTCATAATTGCTAGTACATGATATCAGTGTATGATGAAATTAGACTAACAAACCACATCATTGATAACAGCAAACATATTTTTACTTTCCAAATATCATTGGCCTTTTACCTATGATTAACAATGTTTGTAGATAGGCTCATATTTAAATTCAACTCATTGAGCTGGAAATTATAAAATATATCCTAATAGATGTATTTTTAGAGGAGTCATTTATGACAGCCATCATATTATAAAATAATATATATTTTTTGCTAGCAGCTGTTGCTTTATTATGACAAAAGAGAATACACATAATGAATTATTTCACTGTAATGCAAAAGCTATTCAATAAACAGAATGGTTTGAAATCATATATCATTGTCAATCAAGGACCTAACTTGGTTATGTATATTTAAAAAACTCCGATATATTGTGGGATCAGATTTTGGTTAAATAATTCTTTGCTTGGAATCTCTCTTTAATGCCAGTGTTAAATTGACACAAGGATTCAAAATATTTATATTAGAATTTCCTTAATACATTTTATAATTATATGGATTTGTTATATAAAATTTCCATTTCTGTTCTCTGGTACCGTTAACTGTAATTTTTGGCGGTGAATTTGAATATGAATAGCAAGAATTCTGAGGTACAGTGTGGCCATGTATTTTACAGCATTGCCACAAATTTTCCATTTTCATTCTTGGTTGAATGGAAACAAACCTTGTTACATACCATCAAAAACAAATAGTCATTACGCCAAATTTGAGATAGATAATGATCTGCTCTCGACCTCTCATTAGTCCCAGTGCCAATTTGACATAACTTGATATTTATGCACCCGATTCACTCGAAGAGAAGAGTCTTCATCCAGATCACAGATACTGGAGGATTTTTGAAAATTTTCCATAATACAGCTTTGCTTTGATGAATTTTCATTTTCTATAAACTGTAAGCAAACACAGGATGAGTAATTTTTAGCACTGCATTAGAATGTGACTATCAGAAAATTCTGAACAATCGTGGGCCGAATTTGGATTGTCCAGTGGTAAATTACCAGCAAATACATAGGAGATTTACCCAAGGAACCAGTTTTCATTGAAATCACAGCACTGCTGGAATTGGCGTAAATTGATGACTCCATGATCCAACAGAAAGCTGAGAGAAGCACAGTAAGAACTGTAAATGCGTCTAAAGTACTGATTCAGCCTAATTGACTCTCTCTCTCTAATTGACTTTATCTCTCTCTTTCTGGATGCCATAAAAACTCATTCTTACGTCCCATGCCACTGGTCTGAATACTTCCTTTTATGAATGTTATATGTCATTTACATCATGAATAACCATGACACCCATTTCTTTGTGTCTTTATTTAACATGGAAAGCACTGCTCAGGTATTGATGATTTTTTGATGCAAGGTTTCTACTGTGCCAGAGACGAAAAAGATTTGTAGTGTGTATGGGTTGGAACAAAAATTAAAATCGCTTAAACTTTTTTCTTTTTTTCTTTGACGTTTCATAGACTATTATATCAGGTGATTCTCCAAGGTGGCTCACCCCTACAACTTTTTTATTATTGAAGATAGAAAAACGAAATTTGGGGTTGCCTATTATAGGTGAATTACCATTTTTTGCCATATTCACTTGCTTCGACGTACTTCCGGTTTGACCGGAAACGACTCGAACTTTCGATTTTTAAATGGGACACCCTAGATATTTTAACTTATGTCGATCGAGAATGGCATTCTGAACTCAACAAGGTGCCTCACTTGTCAATATTTGACAAATAGTCATTTTTATGTTTTGATCTAGAATGGCATGGATCCCGTAAATCGCTTTATTTTTTATCAAGTAGAGGTCTACTCACACTCAGCCGTGACGTGTCAGTGCTGTGACATGCCAGTGATTCTCGCTGACGTGAGATCACAGTGTTTTCAATTCACACCGGTCAGTATTTTTCTCCGTGCTCAGACAGTGCAATTGTGTTCACGTGAAGTCGAGATGGCAAAATTTTCAGAGGATGAACTTGCATTAATTTTTTTCTTTTTTTTATACTCTAACTACCACGAAGGCGTAAGTCCTAAACATCCTTGGGGTACCGTGGTGCTTTAAAAGGAAACACAGGAGAAAGGGAGGATGCCACACGGACTCTGGCGTGGGAACACGTGTGCATGCAACATGCTTACATTCTGGGCCCGCCTACGAGATCCGCCGAGTGGTACTTCCGCGTTCGACTGTCAGAGACCGTCTAGCACCTACGAAAGATGAAGAAGAAGAAACGAGAAGAAAACGGAAGTCCTTGTATTTTGAATTTGTCTGGCTCTACAGCACGGGATGCACGCGTACAAATTCAATTAGTTTTTCATGATTCATGTTTTTGACCAATTATATCAAAATATTCATCAAATTACATAAAAACACGGCCGTGAAAATCGAAAAATATCGTTCCAAAACAATGCGGTACGGCGTCCTCGAGGGCACTGAGAACACGGCTACTTCCACGTGCCGGTCTAGTGTGAATCCAAATCATCCAAATTCCAAATTAGTTTCGCCGGGCGGATCTCGTGCCGGCCACAGCACTGTCACGTCACGGCTGAGTATGAATAGGCCTTTACACGGGAAAAATTTGACGTGAACCTTGCAGTCGTTTTAAAGATTTTCTAGAAGCTGGAAACACTATTTTTTTCAATTTAATTGATTTATTCAAATAGAAAGGGGGTGGTCGGCTTATTCTAAGAGACCATTTTCTTACAAATTATTTAACACTGCACAGTCTTATTTTATTATCACTATTTTTCTGAATAATTGTAAGAAACGATCTAACTTCTATTATTCTAGTTATCCTTGACAAACAATTGAAGGTGTTGCTTTCGAAATACAAAACGTGCAACGAACCAGACGTTAAAATGTGAATAACTTCATCGTCAGTCAAGAAAAAGGAATAAACGAGTTGGCCTACGTTGGAGTAAACTATACAAATGAATTAAATACATACCCTATCATTATTATAACAAAAAATAAAATTAAAAAATGTGTCATTAAGGTTCTAAGTGATCACGGCAAAGTTGTCCATCGAAAATTATTGGCTCCAAAAACTTTTCTCCGATAATATCCATCCAGCAGTTGTAACCAAAGTGCTCTTGAAATTTTTTTTCTTGCATTGGACGTAAGTTTGTCCCATGTACCTTCTATTATTTCGATTGAATATACTTAAGTTGGTAAACCGCTTTTCATCTGAATAAACAATTTTAAACGGAAAACGTACATCTCTGTATTTAGTCAAAAACCAGTTGCAATTTATCTTGCTTTCCCGTAATTCAACAGCATGTCAATTTTCTTGCTTCCAGTATAGTTTTCCATTGTAAATTAACTACATAACAAATTTTTAAAACTGACAGTATTTTTAATAACAGATTAGATATTTGTTGAAGTAACCCTAGCGACAGCTGCAATTGTTTGTCATGGATAACTAGAATAATTGTTGAGCTTAGAATGTCATTCTCGATCGAAATCAGTAACAATATAATTATAGGGTGTTACATTTAAAAATCGAAAGTTAGAGTCGCTTCCGGTCAAACTGGAAATACTTCAAAGCAAGCGAATATGCCAAAAATATAAATTTATCTATAACATGCAACCGCAAAATTTCGTTTTTCTATCTTCAATAATAAAAAGTTATAGGGGTGAGCCAGCTTAGAGAATCACCCGGTATATTTTCGTTTTTAGAACATCTGTTGGGAAGGTTGAAAATTGAGGGATTGGGTTTGTAAGGTTGTAAATATTGCATCTTCGGTCTCAGTTGTCCATTATTAAGAAGCTTGTGATACCGGTAATACTACTCACATACTCGTATTACATATAATAGTCATATTTATGCATGTGAATCTTTGCTCAAAAATAAGGTTCCATGAACAATAATCTACCCCCCGCTACCATACACCATAATAGATAAATAAAAAATAGGCTACCAAGGTACCGATTGTCGACATCGCTGGTCAATGCTTGTGACAGGAGCAGGCGATGAATCGATATGGGCGGACATATTGTACGACCTTGGCGCGATATGTCCGATATGTATGAAGTACATTGGACTATCTGATATTCCGCTAAGATTTTTCCAAAGCTACTTGGCTGATAGAAAACAGGTAGTTAAGATGGTTAGGGGCGTATCTTCTAGTACTGTGGTTTCGTCTGGCGTTCCGCAGGGGTCAGTTCTGGGCCCTCTGCTATATTTAATTTACACTCTAGACTTAGACTCATCTGTGGAATTTTGTTCTTTACAAACGTATGCTGATGACACACAATTATCATTTCACTTCAAATATGCTCAGTTAAATGAAGTTCCGTTTAAAATTAATACTGACCTAATCAATATTACGGATTTTTTGTAAAAAGCACTGTCCCATGATCAATCCTGAAAAGAGTTCATGTATGCTTTTTTCTCCGAAACAGATGTATAATAATAACATGAAAGACGTAATTGTACTCATTATAAATAACGAGCGCATCCCCATGGTAGAACATTCTAAAAACCTGGGTGTTATCTTGGACTCTAACTTGTAGTTTGATAGACAAATCAGTTACCTGTCTTTAAAAATGTATGCCAAATTAAAACTTGTATACTTCACACGGTTCATTTTAAACTTTAACACTAGGAAAAAATTGTGTTTGGACTTCGTAAACATAGTCATCTCTCTTCGAAGATTAAATATTTAAATTAGTTAAAGCCGGAATCACAGTTTGTTTATGCTATGAATGTGTTTGTCCATAAAGTAGTTCGCAAAAAAAGCCACTGTAGATTTTAGAAAAGCTGGTACCAAGAGGTAACATAAATAAGATAAATCTCAGACATAACCTAACTTTCGCGATGCCAGTCCACTATCCAGCCCTTTTCCAGAAAATCTTCAAATTCCATGCTGTCAAGTTATACAACTCTACAGATAAAATGTATCGCAGTAAAACAATAGTACCTTTCAGGAGACTCGTTAAGAAACAGCTGTTGGGATAGTTCAAGCGTGCATTTGTTAAATATTTTTTTCTTTTTTCTGTTTCATAATACTCTGTTGGCTCTTGTGTGAGTATTGTAAACACGTCATCTATTCACTTCATTTACTTACTTTTCTTTTTCTTATTATTATGATTATTGTTTGTGTATCGAGTTTAACCACGTTACTCTTTCTCCACAGTAACGTTAACTGTAAGAGTAACCATTTGGCTAAACTTCGCCACACTGATGTATGTGTATTAACAAAGACAATGTAGAGTCCATCTACTTGACACCATTTTTTTTTCTTCAGATATTCCTGTTGCTGTTTCTGCTCCTCTATCTGTTCTCGTTCGCGGTGTTGGGTCGGTTCCGGCGCCGAGGCCTGGATGACTACTACAGCCTCCAAGACGAAGATGAAGTGCTGGTGTACCGTATCAGCGGATGGCTGTGCGCCGCGTCTCTGGCGGTTGCTATCGGGGCCGTGCTGTTACTGCCGGTTAGCATTGCTGCCAACGAGGTGCTCGTCAGCTACCCGCACAGCTTCTATGTCAAATGGCTCAATCACTCACTCATACAAGGTAAGCATCTACGTATGCCGGGCTGTTCAAATCCGTCTCATCACCATTCGCATTTCAGAAACGTTAAAAAATACGAAGACGGTTAATTGAAGGTAAAGTTGCAGTTTCAGGTGACTGAAAAATAATTCTTAATTAGCTTTGAAATTCAACCTCTAAGGCGAATGTCACATGATCAGTATTTACTGTACGTGTACGTTTATTTGACATACGAGGTCTGTAAATTAAGTGATGAGACTGGCAACGTAGCGTTCGATCTGGCAACTCTGGAGGCACCGGGCTTGTAGGAGAAACAGGGAACATGTGATCCGCCTTCAGTACAACTTTGAACTCGCCCGAGTCCTTTGGGTGTCCGTAGAGACTTTTTTTACGAAACAGTTTTTTCTGTTGTGTTCTAAAAATGAGTGACATCAATTTCGAGCGATGGTGTGATATCACGTTTTGCTTCAGACCTGGGCACAGGGCGACCGAAACTCTTGCTAAACTTTAGCAGGTCTATGGACATAGTGTTTTGTTAACGGCGCTCTCACAGTCAAGCAGAGTTTCTGAGGGGTATCGGGGAGGTGAAGGGGAAACGCTAGTACGAGTAGGACGCTGTTGTGACAAGGCAAGCGATCTACGTTAGAAAAGGATAGAAATACGCAGACGTATGCTGTTCGCGTGCCTGGTTCAATTTGTATATAGCACAGAGTCGGATTTGATTTGGATAGGCGATCTAGCGTACGACTGTTTCCCTATTTTGGCGCATAGAATACCTAGCCCTTATTACTCTTATTATCGTTATTGTTTTGTTGTATTATCGTGTTGTTATTGTTGGGTGTATTTCTTACCAAGGTACAAAAAATGAACAATAAGAGAAATAAACGTGGCGAAGAAGAAACCGCATTTAAATGCGCACAGGAAAAAAAGACGTTTTCCAGATAGATAGGTAGGTTAAAAAAATTATGAAATTTAGTATTCATTTTGCCAATAAAGTAGACCATACGTAGTTACTATTATAATTATATTTTATATGTTATTTTAGCTTAAAAATGACAGCAAGGTTTCGCATATGCATTCTCTAACAGAGACAGATGGCATGGATCTTCAAATTCAGGTGTGTATACCCTTTTTTGGATGTTTTTACTTTTTTAGTAACATATTTATGAAACATTATTGTAGAAAGAAGAAGCGGTCGTTTCACAAACAACCATGGAAACACAATTAGATGAATCCAATCGTCATACTGAAGTAAATCTTATTTTCATTAGTATGTAGAATTCGTATGTATGTTTTTCAATTAAAGTGTCGTATAATGAGTTCATTACTTCCCACACATAAGCATTCAGTGTTTTTCATGTAGGGGCTTCCATCTCTGGGGCGACGGATTCGGACATATTCGGTGAGCTGCTGATAGTGGCGATGAGAGTTTTCCGTTTCGGGGATGGTGGCAGGGGCAGGGGGAGTACTGAGTTATAATAGGTAATGCCATTGTGGAAAATTGGAAACGATGGGACTGGGCGCCATCTTAGACAATTTTTCGAAATGGAATAAGTCCTCTTGAGATGTCTTATCTTGAAGCTCTTTATTTTTATTCTAAAATGTATTGTCCACGTTTAGATTCAATCATCCGAAATTTCATCATGCTTACTTCGATCAAAAATAACTTGGTAGGGCCTTTTTCAAAAGCACTGCATATAAGCGGTAAGTTTTTGTGTGTGCTAGGTCGATAGCGCTGTTATTATTTGGTTATTTTTTTATATTTAAGCTAACACGCAGGCCTTACAGGGAAGGGGGGAAGATCACACGGACTCCAGCGAGATAGCAAGCAGCGCAAATTATGACTCCGCTTAAGAGACCCGCCGGGTAGTACCTCCATCCTATTCGATGGTGCATGACCGTCTACCACCTACGAGATACCTATAAGATATATCAGAATAGATTTTATGAAAATTATAGGGAATATGCTTGACACATGAATATCTCACTTTAATTAGTAAAGGAAGTAAAATGCTTTAGGGTTTGTATTGCTACTTCTGCAGCTGATTTTTTTTGCATTATATGTGGTGTACCGCGTATACATGATGGATGAAAACGTAAAATGTACATTTTCTCAAAAAATTGAGATGGAATGTCGTGTATTTTTTTATGACTTTAAATTGTCCTTTTTGTGTATATATGTATTTGAGAATAATTCTACTTAAAATTCCTGTGGTGGTATATTTTCAGCAAACTATCGAATGCACCGATCGTCACGAAGACATTCTTGAAGGACGCCGAATAGTAGATGTAATTTTTTTTTAAAATCGCTTCTGGAAATCTCTCAACATTCGGCAAACTTTGGATGAACATTGGGAAACCCAATTTTTCTTAAAGAGAAGAGAGAGAGGGCTTGATTTCTATCTATTTTGTGAAGTGCAATATATGCAATACAACATTCAACCTCCACACGTCCAAAAGCAACATAAACAGGGATGCTGTGTTAGCAATGATGAACATTGGTTCGGGTTTTACGCATCTTGAACAGATAACGGCAACCCTTGATATGCCCTGTATGTGAACCAGAATGTATGACAAGTTGTATGATGAGATATGTGAAGCTTGGGAGCAGACATGCGTAGAAACGATGAAAAATGCAGCAAATGAAGAAAAGACGTTCGCAGTGATTTATGGACAAGTGGATGCAAATGGGGTTCTCCTAATAACTGTGGTAGCTGATGGAAGTTGGGCAAAAAGATCCTACCATTCTAATTACAGCTCCTTATCTGGTGCCGCTGCCATAATCGGCTACAAAACAAAAAAAAGTCATCTTTCTAGGAGTGAGAAATAAGTATTGCACCATTTTTTTAATCAATTAAAGCTACGATGGGCAATCAGTAAAGCCGTGCCCTATAGGAAAAGTGAAAATATTGAATTTACTCAAAAAGTAGAGGGCTTAAAAAAGGATACACAAAACTCCATCAGCCATATATTTGGTAAGCATAAGGACTGCCAAAACATAGGTTACTTTTGCAATAAGCCATATGTTGCACATGGAACCACGAGTGATCTGAAAATGACAGGTAGGGTTGTGTTATATGGGAAATATATTTACACAGTACTTTCAATGTATCAATATGATAATTACACGAGAGGTACAGCGTCGGCCTATTGGATGCATGTTTAACAGCAACTTTGTTTTATTCCATTTTTTTAGATTTGCACCAGAAGCTTATAACATTTCTGGCAATTCTGATTAAAAATGCAGTAAGTTTACTCCATGACGTCCATAATAATATTGTAGAGCAGTTTAACTTAATCATATCTAAATTCATTGGGGGGTAAACGGATTAATTATTGTAAAAAGGGATCCTACCAAGGAAGATGTGCTGCAGCCGTAGTGAGCCACAATACACAGCGGCCTGTTTATGTGATCCCGAAGCGCCTACTCCCTAGTTTAAGTCCAACCTCTTTGATTGCTAAAGTTGAAGAAAGGAGAGCGCACAAAAATCTGAAAAGGAAGCTGAAACCAAGGAAAATTAAAATCCGAGATAGTGATGCTAAGGAGAACGCGTCCTATGGGGAATTCTGTGAGAAGCCTGACATGAGCGACGAAGATATAGAAGCTGCCTATTACGAAATTTCCGAGATCGAGCAAGCCATAAAATCCCAGGATTGCAATTTGTGGCGTCTTCATCGAAGAATGAGGTTGACTGCGTCTCGGTTTGGTGAGGTTTGCAGAAGAAGAGATACAAGTTGCAAAGCTCTAGTAAACTCCATAATATACCCAACCGAATTCTTTAGCAAGTCATGTGACTATGGGAAAAAACATAAAAGCGTGGCAAAGGCAGAAATAGAGAAATCATATTCACAATCAGAAGTACAATCTTGCGGGTTGTTTATTGATAGGACCCATCCATTTCTGGCAACAACGCCAGATGGTTTTATAGGCGAAAAAGGTCTGTTAGAAATTAAATTTCCATGGTCGGCCAGAGAAATGACCCCTGAAGAGGGCATTCTGAACAAAAAAAAATACGTTTTCGTTAAACGATGAACTAAATAAAAAACATAAGTGGTATTACCAAATTCAAGGGCAGCTACACGTTGCACAAAGAGAGTACTGTGTGCTTGGTGTTTGGACCCCGTATGGTTTTAAAATAGACGTCATTCAAAGGGATGACGTTTTCTGGAAAAATGAAATGTAAGAAAAATTTAAATTCTTCTACATGAACTGCCTGCTCCCAGAACTGGTCGATCCCAAGAAAAGCAGAAATATATCAATCCGCGATCCCGATGCGATCTTGAAGTCACAAGAGAACTGTTTGAAAAAGAAAAAGAGTTCTTGAGAATTGGCTATTTTTTCTGTACTCGGATACCAGATTAGCATATTACATTGTAAGCCGTTACTAACGCCTTCGTGTCGGCAAATGCGGTGTGTAGATCTCGCATTAACAGTAATGTGCGAGATGTTATGCTAATCTCTTCCATTTTGGTACTAGTACCAGACGTTCACTATTTATTGTATATTATGTATATATTGTTTGTTTAAATAAAAGTCAATCGTCAGGCTCAATGGCACGTAGCATCAGCTACAAGCTAGCTATGTTATATCTAGTCTGTTAGATGGCGAATATTGAAATGTCACATTAAGTTTATTTTACGATACTTCATAAGGTTAAAGTGCAACAGCAAGTGACATTTCATTTGTGTTAAATGCGTTCACGATAATTATTATTTTTAACTAAAAAGATACCGCCTTCAATGACCCAGGTGGTTATTTTTGGTCACAAAGTTCTGTATGCTACCATACATGTCAAGTCTTTTCATTTGATATCTAAATTGGGGGTTTTGTACAAAGATATGTAACTCGCAATTTCGAAACGGCGGCAATCTTGGATTCAAATTTTTAGTGAAGTACTGTATTCTACAAGGCGACGACTTTTATATGACGTATTGGCTAGATTTTGCTAAAGTATGCTATCCGCCATTTTGTGACGGCCGCCATCTTGATCTGAAACTGTTTTCGTATTACTGTATTGTATTGATTGAACAAAAATAATTTTTTGTTGATTTTCCCAAAGCGCTGAATCAATCTCCAAAAAATTTGTCTGGGATCACCTCTGAAGCATGGCTTGTATAAAAAGAAATCATCAAAATCGATTAATAATTTCCCCTCTTTTAGTGAAGTCAAATAAAAATGTCACTTACTGGTCCGGTGTTTATCTCGAACGACCGACGTCAAAACTGCTACTGTTTGACTTGGGACAACAAATTAGCTGAATAAAAATTAGTCCGTACACACCGCCGCGTTGCTTCGACTGACAGCACGAGATGGTGGATAAAATTCGTGTAAAAATCTATTTGAAGAGGTTTTCGCGCTTCAAAATTGACGCTTCATTTTTAAATATGTTTCACTGCAATTTTCACAGTGTACTAAAAACAAGACACCACAGGGTGCTATAGAGCCACTTTTTCGTTTTTTCCTCTGGGTTATTTTTAAAAAAATCGAGAAGTCGAACAACAATTATCTGTACTTCCACCCACCATAACTCTTGAAAAAGTTTTTTTTAGAAAAGTGGCTCTATAGCACCCTGGGCAATTGTCTTCTGAACATACTGTAAAAATTTTATTCAAAAATATAGAAAAATGGAGCGTCAGTTCCGAAGCAGCTAAACCCTTGTAATTGGCCTGAAACTCACTGCGTCGGCGCAGCCTTAAGAGACCAGCTTTTTTGGTATTTAACGCATTTTGAGAGGGAGAGAGTCGACCGAGGAATCACGAAGCGGAAGGCCTTCATCTTCAAGAACCGATGAAAATATTGCCAGAATCCGGGAACTTGTGCGTTCAAATCGTCGGTTGACACCACCGTTCATCGGATCAATAACAACTGGGTGTTGGATCACAATGATGCTCCTTGTCACACAGTAATGTCAATAAAGGAGTTTTTGGCCATTAAAAACATTCCTGTGGCTCGTCAGCCTCCTTATTCGCCTGACTTGAAGTGAACTGGATTTGACAGCTTCATTTCTGTTTGCACTGTCATACTTCAGTTGCAAAACGAACGAACTTATTGACAGAGTATTATATCAATATATTTTTAAACAAAATTCGAATGTCTCAAAGTACCAAGCGTTAAAAATTCTGTTCACTTTTGCGTTTATTGTGAATTTCTTTCTGTTGCAGGTCTATGGAACTACGTCTTCTTATTCTCCAACTTATCACTGTTCGTGTTCCTGCCTTTCGCATACCTATTCACGGAATCAGAAGGATGCTGGGGGTGGGGCAGGAAAAGACTCACTTCTAGGATTTACGAGACTGTGGTCGTACTGTTGCTCCTCAGTGTCGCAGTACTCGGTACCACCTACGTCATGTCGGCGCTCATCGACCCGGATAATTCTGACATTCAAACCATTCTTAGTAAGTTCAGGAATTATAAGGCTTGTTAGCACACAGACTGTTCCAGTATGAGCTTTTGGCAGCCTCAAATGCTGCATTCGTTAACCTCCGCCAATTTTTTTTACCTGTATGGTAAATGTCAAATAAGGCTAATATTAACGTTTATGTATGCGATACTTATGATTGTCAACAATCTGCCTGTTCCTATGAGTAATAGTATATTTATTATTTTTTCAGATCTTTGGACATATTACCTGCCATTTTTGTATTCATGTATCTCGTTTTTTGGCGTTGTGATACTATTAGGTAAGTATGAAGATAAGTGATAGGATTGAGAATCATGATATAAAATGTCATTAGACATTAAACTAACATTTTATCGTTTTAATGCAGAACTACCCCATATATATTTTTGGTGTATTTGCGTTTTCAACAGCGACGGTAGATGATGGCATTGCTCATTATTTCAGTAGTCATGTAAGCCGAGAGAGCTATGATAGGGATGTATTTGTATTAGTGACGATACTGACGATTCAACTTATGTTACTGTCTCTCCAAAGGTTGGAATGATTGATTGCCATATTTCATATTTTTATTCAAAAAATTATATAAATCTAATAACCCTGAGTAGAACCTTTTAAGTTACATAAGCAGCCAGCAGAATTTGGAGATTGATCAGCTAGGCAACTATAGGTTAAGTTACAAATGTTACATCTACGCAGGTTTGCATGGTATAGTCGATCTATTTTCGGTAGATTTGTGCGAAATTTTCCGGAGATGAACCAAAAAGCAAAAATTTGCCGCTGATTGAAAATTAAAAAGGGGGCATCTTGCTTGAGCTCTAATTGGTTTTGGAAATTGATAGCGTGAATGCTGAAATCATAATTGTTTTTACAGTATTTCCTCTCCTATATTTACCTCAGATAGTCCAATCATACTAGACGAAAATACCCCTGGTTTGCGAAATAATTGTAAGGCCTGGTTTTATTTATGCAAGTTGTTCAAGGGGGTATCTAAAACATGGACGCATGAAATGGGTACACCAATTTTTGAGGGAAAATCTTTTGTTCGACAACAAAGAATGACAAAAAAGGTTTTTGGGATTCAATCGAAAGTGTTAACAGGAACGAAAAAACTCATATAAGATTTTTAGGTATTTATGAGACTACAAAATGAGACCACACGTAAAAAGATCCCACTTGTAGTAAAAAAGTTATGGCCGAAGACCGAGGCAAAATGCAGATTTTATCACTTGTTGCTAATGCTACGATTATTTCACGCAGCTACTTGAAAATTTTCAAATCCGAAGGCTTCTTACTTCTAAATAACCACAAGAAAATTGGAGTCGATTGAGAATTTCTAATTGCTTATCCCAAAACACCTCTTCCGGCCATCACTACAAGTTTGTTGGACAATATTCAGGGTTCGTTCAAAAAACATTTCATAGCAAAATGTACGAGTTTACCTTGCCGACACGAATCACAAGCCATTCCGGAAGATAATTGTTATTTTTATGCCAAAAACGGTTTCCTTTTTTTCTGGTAAACAAATTCAAACATTTCGTATATGTAAGTAACTGAACAGATTCGCTACGACATTCGAAAAACACATTATACACATTTTAAAACAAAGCGGATGTGTCTATCACCTTTTGTTGCGAAGAAAAAAATTACTTAACAAATACGAAATGTTTGAATTTGTTTAGAAGAAAAAAACGTAACCCTTCGTTTTTCGCAATAAAATAACAATTATCTTTCGGAATGGGTTGTGATTCATGTAGGCAAGGTAAACTCGTGTATTTTGCTATAAAGTGCCCTTTGAACGAATCCTGTATAATGCTCAATAAACTAGTAGTGATGACAGGAAAATATGGGATAAATAATTAGAAGTTCTCAAAAATGACTTGACCAATCGACTTCAATTTCGCTGTAGTTAATTAGAGCTAAGAAGCCTTCGGATTTGAAGAATTTCAAGTAGATGCGTGAAATTATCATCGCATTAGCAACAAGTGTCGAAACCTGCAAACACTTTCGATTGAATCCCAAAAACGCGTTTTCTCATTCTTTGTTGTCGATTAAAAAGTTTTCTCACAAAAATTGGTGTACCCATTTCATGCGTCCATGTTTTAAATACCCCCTTGAACAATTTGCATCAATGAAACCAGACTACAATTATTTCGCGGAAATTTGCTAATATGATTAGACCAAGAACTTTTCAACGTTCAACACAATAGTACTCAATTCGATTATCATACAACAATGCTATATTTCAATGTAATACCTGAAACTTATTACGTAGTTTTCATATTGATAGAGTTCGATTCAAGCCACATAATGTATCGATTACTTTTCATTTATGTTTCGGCCACCAAGAAATTTGGTGTTGTTGTAGTAACAATTTTTGCTTTGAAAAAGGCCACCGTAGTGGCCGAAACGTCAGTAATAATTAATCAATGCATATGTGGCTTCATTTGGCTAGATCATTGAGTTCTATCAGTACTGCATTTTCTCCCTATTTTAAGTGTGTACTCCATTGGGTTTTGTCCGCCTTTTTGATGTCGTGGGCGAGTTTCTGGTGCAGCCGCGATTTTTGCGGGATCTTGACGAAGAGTACGATGCCTGCGCGATGGAAGAAGAGTGGCTACGCAGGCAGTTGAGGAAGGCACAGTTGCAGGGCGAAGATGTTGAGGAATGTCTTGGAGGAGGAAGAAAAACGGCCGAGGAGGCTGGCGATGAAGGAGATGAGCGATTCGAGATGAAGGCGACCGTCATTGGAAGGAAGCTTATGCAAGTCGAGACTAGGAGGAAACTTCTTGGTAAGAAACTAATAGCATCGTTTGAATAACATTGAGCTGTGAAACTTAACACAGTCATTTATTAAATACTATTCAACATTGAATGTTAAATTACCCGTATAATTTTGCATGTTTAGTCCAATCCTCAGATGTTTCAACGTCAACAAAATAAATTATTTTAAATATCATATAACATCCAAGAAACAGAACTTCATTTTCGAAACTTTTCGTGAATAAAATACTTCCTCGCCAGTGGCTTGGGGAGTAAAATATTTTTACATTTAAATGCTAATATTTTAAGAACTCCAATCGTTTAAGGTGAAGTGAGGATAGATACGTATTACTATTAAATACAACCATGCTTTTCAGTCTGCTATTATTTTCTAAGGAAATATTATTTCCAAATACTACCTGTATATCAAATTCGTGATTGTTTTACAGACAAGCAGAGACGAACATCTCCTTTGCAGAGGAATGTGATATACCCTCTAGCTGTATTAGTATTGCTTGGACTAACTATGATTGCAGTACTTATGGTCATACAGAATACATTGTCTTTCCTTATTGGTATCAAGGCATTGCCTAGTAGTTCTAAGGTAAGATTCAAAATATTTGGAAAAATTTATGGGCAAATAGATTCATTGTCAGTCATACAAATAGACGATCTTTTGATTTCAAACTTCCAAAAAACCAGTATTCAGAACTAGAAAATTTTAGAGCAGCTAATGCGAAACAATTTCGGGCTACAGATTGTCGTAGACTGCTATGTAGATGTCCTCCTACCTTTTTTTATTTTCATCTTAAATTTTGTTCGTTTTTTTTTCAGCAATTCACCTTGGGCGTGAGCTCCCTATCTCGTCTAGGTCCCTGGGGCGCATGCCTGGAAATCGTGTTGATCGTCTACCTAATCGTTACCTCTTCGATCGGACTGTACACCGCTCCATGCGCAAGAAGGTTTAGGCCAAAGAAAAGGGCCACACCATTCACCCTACTAATCGCCAACTGTGCTCTATTGCTCGTTGTCAGTTCTGCACTGCCACTGCTCGCCAAGATACTCGGTAGGTTTAGGGACAATTTCAAAAACTTGATTGAACTGGGATCAAGCTCGAAAACCAAATTCAATATTCGGAGGCTGAAAGGATCAAACTCAAAATTCAAATTCTTTATTCATTCTCTTGATCTCAAAGAGGTATCGAGCAAGTCATACTTAAATTAGGAAAATACAAAAATCGAAAAAGAAAGAGAAAAACCAGGAACAAAAACTAAATTAATAGTAAATAAATACATACATACATATATCACATATAAAGATCGTCACATAAGCACAGAACCTCACATGTATACAGGGTGATTCACAAGTCGTGACCAAAAAATGAAACATCATACACAGGACCGCATTTTAAGGAGGGTCTTCTATGTAACATTTTTTCCTCGAGGGCTTCCTCAAAAAGATACGGGGTGTTGGAGTTTAAAAATGAAAGCATTTTTTTTAATATCTTTATAGTCGTCAACTGGAATGAACTAAAATTTGGTATGTGGATTTACCTAAGTATTGTCCACATTCAAAAGTCTTTACTTGAAATTGACGTGCACCAGTGGCGGATATACAGGGGATTAGTGGCATTATTTTTCCAAAATAACGCGCAATTTTTCGAATTTTCCCCTCAATTTGCTACAAATAATTACTCTTCTGTTTTTTCCTAGAGTGCACTGTTTTCGTAAACATAAAAATAAAACAAATTAGATAATCAAAGATTTATTTCAATAAACGTTCAAAAAGATCACCATTCTGACGGATACAAGTGCGACATATGTTTAATAAAGAAAAAAGTATTTCCGCTAAATTTGTTGTGGCTTGAATTTGATGAAACGCAGTATCTATTCTTTCTTGTAACTGATCAACAATATTAATTTGTTCAGCATACTTTATTTAAAAGCGCTCCACAAAAAGAAATTCAGGGGGTTCAAATTAGGAGACCTCGCAGGCCAATGTACGGGTCCCTTTCTACCAATCCATCGTTGTCTAAAATGATTATTTAACCAGGCGGTTATGTCACGACGAACATGCGGTGGGGCACCGTCGTGCTGGGGTAGGTTGGCGTCTGTTAGGAAATCTACGTTGATACTCCCGAGAAGCCGCTAAAGCATTTCCATTACAGAACCCGTAGACAAAAATAATATCGGCGTACTCATCATTGCTAAATTCCATTTCACAACACTCAAAAATGGAAAAAAGGAACTTTTGACTTGACTTTTACATACTAAAAAAACGGTAGTAGTAACGATAATTACCGTATAACACATAACTTTGACAAACTATCTCCCAAGAAGCGTCAAGTTGGTATTAAGGCCTCCTATTTTATTTTGGAACTAATTATATCTCGGCTCTTCATGAATGATCTAATTTGTTTTCTTTCTATTTTTACGAAAGTAATGCACTCTAGGAAAACACACAAGTTCAATTTGGAAGTAAAATTTGGGAAAAAAAAACAGTGGCGTACTATTTTTATTTGGAAAAATGATGCCACTAATCCCCTGTATCTCCGCCACTGGTGCACGTTAATTGTAAGTAAAGACTTCTGAATGTGGAGAATACTTTTAGGTGGCCGCAGTAGTACACTCTTCGGTCTCCTGAACAGTCGCCGTGCGGGATCGAATCCCGTCCCAAGAGAAATTTTTCTCTTGGCTATGGATGTTGTGATTGTCCGTAGGTGGTAGGCCGTCTCTGACTGTCGAACGCAGAGGTACCACCCGGCGGATCTCGTAGGCGGAGCCCGAATGTGTGCATGTTGCATGCACACGTGTTTCCTCGCCAGAGTCCGTGTGGCGTTCCCCCTTTGCCTGTATCATCCCCCTATAGCTCCACGGTACCCCATGGGTGTTTAGGCCTTAGACCTTCGTGGTAGTTGGAATATATATATATATATATATATATAACTTGAGACGTGGTCATTGTCGTCTAGACCAGTTAGGTGAAAAATTAAAGCTTCCGCCTTTTGTTGGGTACTTCGACAAGATTTAAACAAAGAGGACTCTTTATACTTTTTTTAATTCTCTCTAGCTTTCAATGGACTTTGCCATCATCATCAGGAGCTGCAATTACAATGATAACAGTAGCAACAAAGGTGTAAAATGAATTTAAATTGACTCAACTTACAGTAGTATGTGAGGATGTTGCTAATTGTTGTTTACGTATAGGATGAGGGAAACGTCCAGTAACATGGTGAGAGCTGAATAGATTGCACAATAGTCAAAATTTATACAAAACATGACAAGAACAAGTTAAAAACAGATTAAAAATTATTTAAAAAATTTTAAACATTACATCGTGAAACCACCTGATGATTGCACAAATTAGTGGTCATGGAATGATGAATTGATGAGTGACATGAAACCCTTTGACAGAAGGCCGAAGGATGTCAATGTCAGTATTGAAAGATGGAACGAATTGTGGGCGTGTGCCAAAACGTTGCCAAATCACTTCAGATGATGAGATTTTTAGAATTTTATGTTAGAATTTGTTAAACTGCTTGGCTTAACCAACACAGTCTACTCCATCAATTGCAACAACTGCAACCAAATATACATAGGTCAGACCTCCAGATCTCTTAAAGGAAGGATTACATCACACAAAAGTGATGCTAGGCTACATCCTGAAAGATGCGCTCTAGCATCTCATGTTAACACAACAGGGCATTCTATGAATTACACAAGTATCAAAGTTCTTGATAAAGAAAAACACCTTTCCAAACGTTTATTCCTGGAAATGTCCCACATTTTCATGAATAACAACTGTATCAACAAAAAGACAGATGTTAAACAACTGAGTGTCATTTACTCATATTTGCTAAACTGCGAAAAATTGGAGAACTTACATATCTCCCCAAATTTCAACTCTTCACAACCATAATTAGAATCTGTGTTTTGGCCGTTTCCACCAGTAAAATTCATTCCACTCAAAATATAATAATTCTCTCCTCACGATTTATTAATAATTGTTAATTTAAATTCCCATTAATAATAATATAGTTTATTCAACTGCCTCTGGTCGGTTTAACAAATTCTAACATAAAATTCTAAAAATCTCATCATCTGAAGTGATTTGGCAACGTTTTGGCACACGCCCACAATTCGTTCCATCTTTCAATACTAACATTAATCAAATCCAAGCGAATAACCAAAATTTCTGTGTTATGTGCCGCGGTTATAATATGGTTCAAGATGACACACGGGTTGATGACGTCAGTTACACGAATCGCTTGAACGCGTTGGTTTTAACCGCGGTTTTGTTGCAAGTTGTTTATTTTAGAAAAGCGCGTATATAATCTCTGATTATTTTTATTATCACTTAATAATCGGTGCTTTTTCGTCTACAACTGTATATGGAAAGTTTAAATAAGAAACCTTTCATAATATTCATGGGAGAAATGTTTTTTTCAGATTTTTTTTTTAATGATGGAACCATGGCTTTGTAGCTATGATAACTTTCAATTCTCTAAATTTTTCCGCATGTCAAAGAAAACATTTATTGATTCAGCAGAAATGATGAAAAAAGAAATTAGCAAAACCGTATACAGGTGGATATCATTTAGTGAGTTTATATGGCCATATTTTAATATTCTTGTGGTATATGGCTACACAGGATACGTTGTTAAGCATATGAACTACATTTAAAGTGTCCCCAACAACCGTAATGAGTATAACTAATAAGGTGCTCCACTTTATGGTAAAACTGAAGTCAGCCTGTATCATTTTTCTCAAAAATGAAGCTGAAGTACAATAACAATATCCAATACCCGGCAAAATTCTAACTTGTCACATTTCAAATAATAACCAGAAATATAAAACTACTCTTGAGTTGGGTAAATACCACAGTTTTGCGGTGATAACTATGACATATAACAGCTGATTCGTGACGTCACGGATCTTATAACCAAATTGATAACTACACTCGCTTGAACGGATTGGTAAATACCAACCCAAAATGGTAAATACCATTTCCATTTGGTTATCCGCTTGAATTTGATTATTGACATCCTTCGGCCTTCTGTCAAAGGGTTTCATGTCACTCATCAATTCATCATTCGATCATTCCATGACCACTAATTTGTGCAATCATCAGGTGGTTTCACGATGTAATGTTTAAAATTTTTTAAATAATTTTTAATCTGTTTTTAACTTGTTCTTGTCATGTTTTGTATAAATTTTGACTATTGTGCAATCTATTCAGCTCTCACCATGTTACTGGACGTTTTCCTCATCCTATACGTAAACAACAATTAGCAACATCCTCACATGCTACTGTAAGTTGAGTCAATTTAAATTCATTTTACACCTTTGTTGCTACTGTTATCATTGTAATTGCAGCTCCTGATGATGATGGCAAAGTCCATTGAAAGCTAGAGAGAATTAAAAAAAGTATAAAGAGTCCTCTTTGCTTAAATCTTGTCGAAGTACCCAACAAAAGGCGGAAGCTTTAATTTTTCACCTATATATATATATATATCGTCGCCTAAATACGTTAAACTGTTAACTCCATTTTCATCACTTTGGTGATATTTATCTATTTCACAACTATGACTCCTTTTCTATCATACCAAAACTAAATGTTTGTCAAGTTCGTACGAAAACTGATTGAAAAGCCATGATGAGTAAAGCTGCTAACTGATCACCACATCTTATTCATCGAAATGCTGCTATCTCCAGTCAAAACAAAGTGACAGGTGCACGTGTGCTCCTCAAACGCTCTTCAGCTCTAGAATAAATGTGGCTTCTTTTTGAAATATCACAGACATTAGTTTCTTGTTCCGGGTAATACTTTTTGATGAAAGGTAAGTTTGATTTTGTAAAAATATGTTTATTTTGGTTTATAGTAAACAAAATTACCGTTATGTTGGAGTGGCAGCTTTTCTCTTAAATTACGTTTTATTATTACTATTTATTAATGTTTAACTGATTTCTTGAGTTAGCTATTGGTGTATGAGTGTGCCATTTTTTTATTTTTTGAAGAGCAATCGGTTACCAATATAATGGTTTGTTGACCTACACTACCGGCGTC